AGCTGCGGGCTGTGCGTCCCTGCGAGGTGAGAGCTCGGCGACCCCCTGCCCCGGCCCCCGCCCCGCCCGGGATGGGGGCGCGCTGAGCCCTACCTGGGCATCCCGGCGAGCGCAGCTTCGAGCCCCGCTCCTGACTGTCACGGCTCTGACCCCTCCCACCAGCCCAGACCTCACCTCGGCCGAGGGACACCCCTCTCCTTCCAGTCTGCACACTTGGTCCCTCCAGCCAGCATTGTTTAGCCTCGTAGACCCAACTTGGGACCCCCTCTTCGGACCCCCCGTAACTACGGCTTCTCTTTCCCTTTGCAGATGGACGGGACAGAAGGTAATGCCGGGCAGCCCGGCCCCGCTGAGCGGTCCCACCGAAGCAGCGTGTCCTCCGTGGGAGCCCGAGGTGGGTCCCTGCCTCCATCTCTTCCCCTTCATACCCTCCTGGGACCCCAGCTCTGGGGCAGTGGCTCCGACTTATCGTCTTTTTCATTAAAGATAATCTTACGTATTCATTAAGAAATAAGGTATGTTGAGATGTGGAAAAGTCACAGAAGTCAGAAGACTTGGGCTCTGTCACTAGGTTAGAGGCCAACTCGGTACCCTTCTTATATCTCACTCTCCTCGTTTGTAAAAACAAAACAAAACAAAAGCACGTCTCACATAGCTGTAAAATTCAAATAAGATCACATGAATGAATGAAAAGTGACACTTTGTTTCATTTCTTTCTCACAAACAGCCATTTGAAAACAGGGATCATTATCTTCGCTTTATAGGGAGGAAACCGGGCCCCAGACAGGTTAAGGCACAGGCTCCTGGGGCCCTCCAGGTGATCAGGTGTTTGAGCATTCAGTGCCTCAGTTTTCCCTATCTGAAAAATGGACCTGAATCTCACCATCCTGGAGATGATTTTGTCGTCTCTCAAAGTAGCTGTTGGAGCAGCTAGGGATCCAAAAAGCAGCTGCACTTGTGTTAATGATAAACTGTGCCTTCCCTTCCACAGGCTTCTCATTTGGTTCACAGCCACTCTTTGAGGAAGGGGTATTAGCTCTGCTTCTACAGATGAGGCAGCTGGCACTCAGACTGACTTGCTGAAGTCAGCCAGCTAGCCAGAGACCAGGCAAGGTTTGGAACCGAGTGTGCCAGCCTCAAGCTCAGTGTTCCTTCACTGTGCCAGTGGTTCCAGGGATGGGGTTTTGAATCTGGCTGCTCTTCCAAGGGTCTCCCTTTGGCTCTGGGCTCCAAATGGGAATCCCACAGGTTGTCGCAAGGGAATGCTTAGCTATTGGGGTTGTACTCTCCCTAGCCTGCTTAAGGCAGTCATGAAAGGCCACAGTATTGACTCCTGAGGCTTGAAGAGTCCTAAGGAAGCATAGACCTGGAACTTGCTTGAACCTGGGGTGGCCTTAGGTATCTTCCGTTCCCATCTTAGCCTGGGCCAGAGAGAGACAGAGACTTGGCTGAGGATAATGGTGGGGCAGGAGCTCTTCTCCTCTCAGCCTGAGAGATTAGCTGCCGTAACCTGTCTCTGCCTTCATTCTCCACCCGTGGAATGTTCTTATTCAGGGCAGAAGCACAGCAGAGTCTTTGGGGCTTCCAGGGGAGTTAGGGGGCTGCAATGGCCAGCCCTAATTTGGACCTTATGGGGTTGGGGTGGGACTAGTCCTTGGGCTGGAGTTGCTGGGTTTCTGGGTGGTTCGAGGGTCTCAGGAAGTCCTAATTGATAGCACTCTTAACAGGATCTTTCAGGGAGACTGGGGCTCTACCTCTAGAGTGGACTTAGCCTCAGGACTGTGGCCTTGGTTTCCCCAAGGGCTATAGGCTAGGGGCTCCAGCCTCAGTGGGCGGTGAAGAGTCCCCAGTTGGCCTGGCTATGCCTGGGTAGTGGGCCTCGGCTGACACTGCCCAGCCTCTGTCACAGCAGCTGATGTGTTGGTGTACCTGGCGGACGACTCAGTGGTGCCCCTGGCTGTGGAGAACCTGGCCTCTCTCGGTGCTCACGAGCTGCACCGTGCAGTCCGTGAGGTCCTGCAGCTCCCGGACATTGCCCTGGATGTCTTCGCGCTTTGGCTCGTCTCCCCTCTGTTGGGTAAGGGTTGGCAGTAAGAAGCCCGGGCGGGAGGGTTGGAAGGGCACTGGCCAGTGCAGGAGCGAGGGGGTCAGTGTTGGAATCTCTGGCCACTACACCTGAGGGGGAAGTGGGACTTGGGTGTGTCCTGGAGCAATGGTACCTGGGCCTGGGGCATCAGGAGGAACAGGACTGTGAGAGAGGGAGGGAAGGGTCTGTGGTCACTGAGCACAAGGTCGTCCCACAACCTGGGCCCCACGTAATTTCACCTCATTCTCATGGCTCAGGCCTGTCATGCAGATGAGGACATTAAGGATTGGAGCGGTGAGGCCAGTGAGTGGCAGGACCAAGATAGAACCGAAGCCTGGGTGGCCTCACAGCGGGCCTCCTTGAACTGTATTCTGTTCCATGGGGGCAGGGAGAAGGGTGGGACACAGCCTAGGAAACGGCCACCTCTGTGAGGCTTTTGCCGAGGGTGGGGAGGGTAGGAAGAGCAGGGACACAACTTCTCCGCAAGGGAGCCTCTAGCCCTGCCTGGTTTCTGTCCCTGTGACCACCCACATCCTGCCCTTTCAGGCTGAGATCACAAGGTGGAGTGGGGGTGGGCGTGGCTCTCCAGATCCTCAGGCGGGGGGATCCCTGGGTGAGTAGGGTCTCTGAGTCTGCTGGCTTGAGCAGAAAGGGGGCCAAGGGAGAGGATGCCCCATGTCATCATTTGGGGAAGTAAATTAGTGCCAGGGCCAGGCATGTTTTCTGAGCTTAAATATTCCCTTTGTTGTAGAGGAACAGGGGCAAGAAGGGGGTGACCGGTCCCATTGAGAGTGAGCAGTATAGCCTGAGTCAGGCCCAAGGGGTCCCTAGTGGTTCCCGCCTCTCCTGAGGCCACTGGGGTGTGCACCTCTATCTGGAGGGAGGCTCCCCATCAGCTTGGGGGGAGAGAGGGAGCCGCCGGCATCCCCCCCGCCAGCCGGAGCTTCCTGCCCAGCTGCTGCTCCGAGTCTCTCGCCCACCCACTTCCTGCTGGCCCGTGTCCTCTGCCTCCCCACACCCAGCCCAGCTGCCTTTCCTTCACCCTCTAGGCTGTTGGTCAGGACCGTGGACCCCTCGGCTTGTATGTTTGGAAAAGTGGGGGGGGGGGCGTTCCATGTGGGTCAGCCCTTGCCCTGCCCCAGGAGGCTCCCAGTGCCGGGTATGGACAGCCTGTGTCCTCCTCCCCCCACTTCCTCCTCCGTCCACCCCCTCCCCCTCCTCACCACATTCCTGACCCCCCACGGTCAGAACTTGAACGGGCTGCCTGTGTGGTGCCACGCTGTCCAAGAGGAGGTGGCCAGAGGCCCCTGCACAAAGTCAGCACCCACTTTGTTCCCAGGCCAGTTTCAGGAAGCTGAAAGGCCACTTAAGCTTTGACCCGAAGTTCCCCGACTGGGTGAAACAGTGACAGAGGCCCCAGAGCCATGAGCCCGGCAGGGTAGGGAGGGGGTACCATTGGCTGGAGCCACCCTCATGCCAAATGTTTTGGCAGGGCTTGGCCTTTTCAGTGCCATTGTCACTGCATAGAACATGGCTGCAGGGACTGTCAGTCTCATTTGGGTGACAACCTCCAGACAGGAAAGCCCCATCTGGAAGTCTGTGGGACTACAGGGTCAGCATAGTCCTGTTCTGATGATGGAGTCCTCTGAGCTGTGGGGTCAAGGTTAAGGCTGGCCAGGGCTGGGCTGTAAGCAGGAGGAAGGGCATCCTTGTCCCCTGGGTCTATGCCCCCACAGTGTGTCCAGCAGATCCCAGCTAGTCAGTTACCTTGTTCACTCCACAGGGATAAGTCGGGCCACATTCTCCATGCTGGGGACGAGTGGTGTCCCTGCCCTCAGGGAACTTACAGTGGAACATCAGAGTTTAAAGTGTAGGGAAGGGACGTTTGGAAGCAGAGCTCTGTTCCTGGTTTAGCCACTAACTCTTTGTGGCCTTGGGCAGTCACTGTCCCTTTGTGGGTATCAGTTTCTCACCTACAAAGTGGATGATCTTCAGGCCCTCCCAGCCCTGATGTCCTGGAAGTCTCCAGATGGAGCGAGCACAAGATCCCTCTCTTGCTTGCTGTGTGACTTAGGACCAAAAACTTAATCTCTCTGAGTCTATTTTTACTATGGGTGGAAAAGGGAACAGGCTTATTGCAGGGTATGTGCACATAAATTACTTGAAATTGTTCTGCGCGGTTACTGTGGCCTGTGACTGTCATCATTATTGCTGTTGTTAGTGGGCAGTGTGACGGGGTTGGGGGGCAGCCGTCAGACTGGTCAGATGCTGCGTGGGCCATTTCCCCTCTCATTCCACAGAGGTACAGCTGAAGCCCAAGCATCAGCCCTACAAGCTGGGCCGCCAGTGGCCGGAGCTGCTGCTGCGCTTCACTGATGCCCCAGATGACGACGTGGCCATGGGTCAGTGCTGCTGCCCGCCTGTCCCCACCTCAGGGGCCCACCTGAGTCTGGAGCATTGGCTCCCAGCCTAGCCAGGCCGCTGCTGTCAGGTGGAGCTGCCCTCACTGAGGGGCAGGACCTGCATCTCCCCCAGGCTCTGTCAGCCATTTTTGGCAGGGGAGGAAGGGGTCCCTAAGGCCAGCCAGGAGAGGTGTGGGCTGGGAAGAGCATGAGCCCCTTGAGATGAGGTGTGCACCCTGCTTTCTGGGTGGCCCTCGGGTTTCTCAGTCATGGTGGGTGAGGTTGGGAGCTGGAACCTGGGCCCGTCAAGGGAGAGGGTAGGGCTGGGCCAAGGGGGGTGGCCAGGCAGTGACCCCAGCCTCTCTCCCCAGATGAGCCTTCCCTGCAGTTCCGAAGGAACGTGTTCTTCCCAAAGCGGCGGGAGCTCCAGGTAAGCGGGAGCCCAGGCTGCACTGCCCAGGGCCAGAGCCCTGTGCCCAGCCGCCCCTGTCCCTGGCTCCCCATGCCTTGCCCCCGCCAGCTGAGCAGCCTTTCCCTGCACACTGGCCCACAGATCCATGACGAGGAGGTGCTGCGGCTGCTCTACGAGGAGGCCAAGGGCAACGTGCTGGCCGCACGGTACCCGTGCGATGTGGAGGATTGCGAGGCACTGGGAGCCCTGGTGTGCCGCGTGCAGCTTGGGCCCTACCAGCCCAGCCAGCCTGTGGCCCACACCCTCAGGTGAGGGGCAGTGTGACAGGAGGCAGGGGCACCAGGTGGGCTTGGGTGAGTCACTCCACCTTTTGGAGCCTACTTTTCCTCATCCACGCCGGGCAGTCAGAGACTTGGGCGAAGTGACTCTGTAGAGGAGCCCACAGCCAGGGGAGCCCCAGATGTGTGGGAGGGTGGGGCCCAGCCTCCAGCCGAGGGCAGGAGGGAGCTGGGCTTGTTCTTGTGGACACAGCCAGGAACCAAACAAACGCTGACCCCTGCCCCCCTCCAGTTACCAGTAACAGTCCCCAGCTTTCCAAATGCCTGGGATGGAGCCTGTTCCCAGACTCTCAGCACGTCAGCTCCCCGCTTCCCACCCCTCTCTCGGGAAGCCGGGAACTAGCGGGCCTGGGAGCAGTGAGGGTCAAGTCTGCCCTGACAGCCAGTCAGGCTGGTCTCTGACTTCCATGGAGGACGATCCTGAGGTCTAGAAAGAATTCCACTGAAGATAAGCTTGCAGCCCAGCCTCTTCCTAGCCAGGGTTCCTCCCCACTCCGACCCTGCGTGTGGGTGAGCCAGGGAGAGAGGTGTGCAGACAGGGGCCCTGCACTGGGGGACCTACAGCTGGAGCCTGACCGGGACCACCCTGGCTCAGAGTCCAGCCTGAGGGCTCCCAGCTGAGCTGGCTCCAGGCTGGCGGCCGTGGGGTCCTGGCCCTCATGATAGTCATGTCAGAAAGTGACAACAGGGCCAGCCCGGTGGCGCACGAACCAAACAAACGCTGACCCCTGCCCCCCTCCAGTTACCAGTAACAGTCCCCAGCTTTCCAAATGCCTGGGATGGAGCCTGTTCCCAGACTCTCAGCACGTCAGCTCCCCGCTTCCCACCCCTCTCTCGGGAAGCCGGGAACTAGCGGGCCTGGGAGCAGTGAGGGTCAAGTCTGCCCTGACAGCCAGTCAGGCTGGTCTCTGACTTCCATGGAGGACGATCCTGAGGTCTAGAAAGAATTCCACTGAAGATAAGCTTGCAGCCCAGCCTCTTCCTAGCCAGGGTTCCTCCCCACTCCGACCCTGCGTGTGGGTGAGCCAGGGAGAGAGGTGTGCAGACAGGGGCCCTGCACTGGGGGACCTACAGCTGGAGCCTGACCGGGACCACCCTGGCTCAGAGTCCAGCCTGAGGGCTCCCAGCTGAGCTGGCTCCAGGCTGGCGGCCGTGGGGTCCTGGCCCTCATGATAGTCATGTCAGAAAGTGACAACAGGGCCGGCCCGGTGGCGCACTGCAGACCGGTTCCCGCTCACTGGCTGAGCGAGGGGCGGGCGCAGCACCGAGGGTTGCGATCCCGTTGCCGGTCCCGGTCCGGTGCGGGCGCAACACTGAGGGTTGCGGTCCATTGCCGGACACGAAAAAAGACAAAAAAAAAAGGAAAAAAGTGACAACAAACTGAGCTCGAACTGTTTGGAAGCAAGGGGTCTTTGTTAGATTGTGTAGCAGATGAGGCCGGGCCAATTGTGGTGCCTCAGCCGAGCTCAGTGCAGGGGCTCTGGTGGGGTCCCACCCCTGTCCTTGCTCTTGCCCAGCCTCGCAATCCTCTGGACCACCTCGCGCTCAGGCAAGCTCTTGTGGCCCGGAGGCCACAGCTGTTGTGTTGGGAAGGAAAGCCTCTCTTCCCTTACATGGCCAGACCCTCAGATTCACTCTGATGACCAATGGCTCGGTCCCAAGTCTACCCAATGGAAACGCTGGCCAGGCCAGTGACTAGCTGCAGCCTGGGTCCTCCCTTGTGTCCCACCGTGAGCCTGCACAGATGCCGTGGACTGAGAATGGGGAAGGCTGGGTTCCCACGTGACAATGGGGAGCTGTTGGTGGAAGCAGGGATGTGTGGGGAAAAGTAGACAGCCCCCTGGAGCCCCCTCCCCATGCCCTTCGTGGTTGGGCCTCAGGGCAGCACAAGTTCCTCGCCTTGGCCCTTCCCCTGAACCAGCTGTCCCCTCCCCGTGGCCTGGGTGTGTTTGGTGTTCCGGAAGCCCCAGCAGGGCCCTCTTCCCTGTTGAGTGAAAAGAAAACCACCCCGAGATTTGTTCAGCTCTAACCTCATGCCGGGCACATGCCAGCACCCTTCTGTGCAAGTAAGGATTAGTGTCCTTGGTTTTTTTTTGTTGTTTTTTTTTAAAGATGACCAGTAGGGCCGGCCCGTGGCTCACTCGGGAGAGTGTGGTGCTGATAACACCAAGGCCCCGGGTTCGGATCCCATGTAGGGATGGCTGGTTCGCTCACTGGCTGAGCGTGGTGCTGACAACACCAAGTCAAGGGTTGAGATCCCTTTACCGGTCATCTTTATCAGCACCACCACACTCTCCCGTTTTTTTTTTTTTTTTTTTTTTAAAAGATGACCG